TCATCACAGCTTCATATTTTACTCGGGCCTTATTCTGCTGGTTGGGTGCAGGCACAGCACAGGTGGAAAGTTGAGTTTAAGCAAAGATTAACATAGCAAACATCCTTTTAAACACGTAGCTCATTAAAAAATAAGAGAAATTCCCCAGGGATCAAAAATAAAAAGGAGGCAGAAAACCAGAATAATACAACTTCATCTTCCCTCAGGGCAAAGAAGACCAGTCTTGCACCTGGGCCACCTGGACAAAACTGGAATTCTTGGAGGGATATATGTTCACTGTTTTCATTGCAAGACTGATTTTCAAATTCCATGTTAATTTTGAATTCCAAAATACCAGTAGTAATGATGTAATACCATTAATAGATCTGCAACATAACCAGTGCCACTTTAGGCAAGCCCAAGTACAAAATGGCGCCGTCCACCTCCTCCCCTCCCCTCCCCCCTTCCCTTTACAAGAAGCCCCCTGACTTGAACAGAAACTCCTTTTGCTTCTGCAAGGATGCAGTTCTCCACCCGATCCACATTAGCATAATGACCCTCCTTGACAGTATCAGCCAGCCCTTGATGCACTATATTAGCTCTACCACCCCCATGCCTGTTGCTGTCCCCTTTTCAGGGCAGCCCTGGGCTGCCTGCTACTTTGAGCACAGCCCAGCAGATTTTCTTCCTTTAATAAAGCTTGAACAGTACCCAGCACGTGGTACCTGGCATCTCGGCTCACTTTATTTCAATGATTATTTCCAGATTGAAAAAATATGATCTCTAAATCATTAGCATCCAGAGTTATGTACTACATTAAATTTTTTAATTGAATATGCAGTATATAAAATATTTTTTATTTTCTTACTTCTCTTAATTTTTATAGTGATGACAGTCAACTAAGCAAAGCTTATACTGTGAGAATAATTCTTACTCTACTTTGAAGACTTTTTGAAGTGCAGTATGAACACTGCACCAGTATCCTAGGGCTGCTATAATAAATTACCACAAACTGGTTGGGTTAAAACAACAACAACCCATTCTCTCACAGTTCTGGAGACTAGAAGGCTGAAATCAAGATGTCAGCCCTCTGAAAGTTCTAGGGAAGAATCTTTCCTTGCTTCTCTCTAGCTGGCAATCTTTGATGCTCCTTGGCTTATAGACATGTCATAACAATCTCTGCCTCCATCATTATATTGTGTTTTCCCTGTGTGTCTGTGTAAAACTATATAACTGGTTTGAACCAGTCTTGCTTCTTTGTACTAGCACATTGTTTTGCAGGAAACCCAACAAGCATGCACAGGAGAGGAAGGCCATGACCCTGGGCACTAAAGGAACAAAAGTTTCCTACTAGAAGAATCAAAAGGTTGGAAACTTAATCAGTGGAGGTAATTCCTCAGTGAGAGATCCTACAATAAGGAAGACCTGGAGCACTGACCAGATATGGACTTGTGTAGAACTAACCAATCAAACTCTGCTTACTTAAAACTTCTTCATTCTTTCTCTTGCTCCCTGACTCCTTAAAGTATGTCAGACCCTAGGTCTGATTTGAGCCTTGCCTCCTGTCTTCTTGCCAGTTGACCTTGCAATAAAACCTTTCTTTTTTCAAAAACCGGTGCCATAGTATTGGCTTTGATGCGTGTTGGGCAGTGAGCTCTTGCTCGGTAACATGTTTCCCTGTGTCTTCACAGTGCCTCCTTATAAAGACATCAGTCACTGGATTTACAGTCCATCCTAATATAGTACACCCTCATCTTAAATTGATTACATCAATTACCTGTGGGAAAGCAAAATATTTTGGCCCTAAAATATATTTCTTTGACATATTTCAAGATGGCTAATTCAGACAAACTAGAAAAACAATATTAGCTAGAAGGATATTTCTTTGTGGAAAGAAATTTACATCTGTATATCCAAACAGCCAGGCTTCCTTTGAGGCCCCTCCTTTGGCTGCTATCTATTCTTTTTGAGGGAAGCTGTGAGATTACCTGAAGTATTTTCATCTTCATACGATATGTCTCTACATAATTTTAACTTCTGACTTCCTTCTTTCACCTGTGATGTCACCTCCCCCTAAAGCTTCAGAGAAACTTGGTCTCAGGCCATTGTTCTGGGGCTTCTACCTATTAGGCCTCATGGCTGGCTTAACATCAGTAAAGCCATGATAAGCAACTTTCCACCCTCTTCCCCCTTGCCCTTCCCTATCTTATGTTAGTCAACTTTTCACCCTCTTTCCCCCTGCCCCTCCCTATGTCATGTTAATCAACTTTCCACCCCCTACCCCCTTGCTTTCTGAGAAAAACCAGAATTTGTGCAAAACAGATTCATATGCAAAAACCACCACCCAATGCCTTTCCTCTAATCCAAACCCTATAAAACCTTTTTAGTCTGTATAGGTGCAGGAACTGATCCAACTCAGTCTCCACACATAAAACATGAAATGAGCCAAGACATGGATAATAGTGTAGAATTTAAAAATAGCAAGCCCATTAAAAATTTAGAATTGATTATAATTAAAAGCTGAAACCAAGGGATACAAGTTTTTAATGGGAACTTTCCAGTATGTCATTATATAGAAAAGTGCAAAATGCTGGAAAATATTTAGAAAATATTTACTTCACAGACTTTAAGAATATAAACATTAAGCCATGTTGCATATTTGTACTTCTGCTTAGTCTTTAACTGGTTTCCATAAAATTATGTTATTTGTTTGCCAGAAATTTTCCTATGACACTCTAAGTATAATGACTTCTTTTTATAAAACGTTAAGCCCCAGGACCATGATATTTGTATATTAATTTGTTGAAGAAAAGAGTATTTTCTTAATGTTTCAAAGAAATAAATGTGTCTTATAATATTTAACCTAGTATGACTTCAGTAATCTTGATATAATCAACTCAACCAGTATAAAATCCACATATATCCCTTTCAGGTTAGGAAAATCCACCTCTTTTCCTCTTGAATCAATGATGACAAAAAAATAAAAATAAAAGTGATTTTAGAAGAATATTTAACAACAAAAATACAGAATCATGAATTTTCTCTATAACCTAATACTAATCTAGTCCTAGAAGGAGCCACTAATACTGGTAGACAATTGTTCAGCACTTGCACAAGATATAAATCCACAGATTCAGGAAGCACACAAACCCTAAGCAGAATAAATAAAAATAAACCCACAAACATGCCTGATGTATTAAACTATAGAAGGGTAGAATAAAGTAATAGAGAGCAGTGGAAACCAGAGGAATAATATCTTTCAACCAATAACTTCAGAAGCAGTTATATCAGCATTCAAGAATGAGAATAAAACATCAAAATACGTTCAGACTAGTAGTACACCAAGGGCAGGGTGGTGGTAACTGTTCGTTCTAAGTGGAAATACACTGCCTATAAAGAATGTAAAAACATTGTCTTGTTTCCAGGATGGACCACTCCCACCCCCCTACCCTTGGTATGACACTGGTTCAGGCAAAGGAAGTTGAGGGAATTTCCAACAAATCTTTTTTTTTTTTTTTTTGTGGCTAGCCGGTAAGGAGATCCAAACCCTTGACCTTGGTGAGAGCTTGACCAGCACCAAGTTCTCCCAAGTGAGTGAATTGGCCAGCCTAAGGCTACATTTTAGGAAGAAGAAAATGATAAGAGAAAAAATGTCCAAGATGCAAGAAGAAAAGGTGAACAAAGAAATGAGTACACGCACAGATAAACTTGAATAAACACTGACTGTATAAAACAATAATAATGCCAATTGAAGGGGATTATGGGGATTAAAAAAAAAAAAAAAAAACCCAGGGAATGAAAACGCTGGACATTAATAATTTTTAAAAAGGCTAACTAGGTTACTAGGTTAATAGTAATAGACTTGCTCCAACAATTGAACCCCTTGTCTCCTACAATGACAGCTTCGTCTGCTTCCTACTAATAAGAAAAAAATTCAAAATTAAATTTTGACTAACTTGTAAAATGCCTCTGTAACTAAATGTGCTTATCTCCCAGGGCACCCCCACAACTCAGCCTAGCTAATAACCAACTGCTGGCAGGCATTTCTGCTTTTGTAATCTTGCTAGCCTGCTCTACTTGCATTTCTAATTTTGCCTGTTCGCCTAAGTCACATGGGTGAAAAAGAACTAAAATCAGGGCCGGCCCAGTGGTGCACTGCTGCAGTGCACCGCTTGGGAGCGCGGTGGCGCTCCTGCCGAGGGTAAAAAAAAAAAAAAAAAAAAAAAAAAAAAAAAGAACTAAAATCAACAGCTGTTTGCCTAAGATACAAGATTAAAACTAAGCCTATGGCCATAAAAACCCTGTCAAACTCATGTACAGGGTCCCAGGATTCTCAGGACGTGAGTCCAACCTGGGTCCCTCCCATAATTAACCTTCTGGGGCCGGCCCGTGGCTCACTCGGGAGAGTGCGGTGCTGATAACACCAAGGCCACGGGTTCGGATCCTATATAGGGATGGCCGGTTTGCTCACTGGCTGAGCGTGGTGCTGACAACACCAAGTCAAGGGTTAAGATCCCCTTACCAGTCATCTTTCTTTTAAAAAAAAAAAAACCTTCTGACTCTTCTACCGTCTGAGCATCTGGAGCCTTTCTTGCCAAGTTCGTTCCACAACACTACAAATGTGCCCAGTTCTGTTTCATCCAAAAATATCCTTCCTTCAACTCTGTTACCCCTTTTCAAGTTAAAGCTTTCCTTCTTAGTTTCCAGTTAGGAATTATGTAAAAGCCATAAGCACAAAAAGGAGAAAACCTTTTTTTCTGTTTACTTCTTATATTGTTTCTTCCAACATGCCATTGAAAATTGGCTCAGGTTAGGCATGATCCTAGGAGGTCCCATAAAGCAAAGACCAGGTATAATTAATTTTCTTTATGCAGCACCATGAGCAAGTGGATATTGAATAAATATTTCAAAACACTGTATTTAAAGTCTATTTTTTATGTGCTTACTATTTCTTTCTTATATTTGTGAAAGTTAGTAAATTGTGACAAGTTAATCTATGTTCAAGTTTGAGAGCCTCTTACCCTTTTTCAGTTTCCGGACAGCCAACATGCAATGGCTAGGAGAGAGATCCCATATTCTTAAGGTTTTATCATCACTTACAGTAGCACAGATGGGCAGATAAGGATGTGCAGCCAACCCCCACACCTCTCCTTCCATGTGTCCCTTTAAAGAAAACACAGTTAGGATCAATTTAACCTAAAGATATAGATATAGTATACTTTATTTAGAATAAAACTAAAGTAACATTCAACAATATATTATAATGAATAGGCTAATGAATAATAAAGTATAATAAAACTTTTTTGTTTATCTTTAGAATACACCATGAAATACCTTTGTAACAACTTTATCTCCACAACTACAATATAATCAAGTTACTACTACAATCAGCTTATAACCCTAGAACATATTCTGGGTGGAGAGTGGGTGGAGAGGGAAGAAACTGGCTGCCTGGAATGTTAATCCCCCCCACACAGGAGGGATCTCCTGCATGACGGAGTGAGGAGCTCCATAGACTTGTGAAAATTTAAAAAAACAAAATAAAAAATCACAACCATTGAAAGTCTCTGGAAATGGTTACAAGGAGATACAACAAATAAAGGAACATTTACTCAAGAAAATCTGCTAAAGTTTGGTGAGAACAGTGACAGTCTGTCATATTTAAAGTGAGATCCACTCCCTTCCTCCCTCCTCCCAGCACATCGGGAGGGAAACTCCGCTCTAGACTGATGCAACCAAGAACACCAGGCTCGCTCTCTCCCCAGCTCCCAGGTGGACAGCTATCTTCCCAGGAGGCGAAGGGTATCAGCATTTCTCCTCGTGACCCCAGCTGCATGTTGCTGAGGCTAAATTCTTGGTGAACATAGCTCATAGGTGGGAGCTCCCTTCTGCTCAGCCCCTACTCCAGATGGAGGCTCCACCTTGGGTGTGGTGCCACTGAGGATATGGGGGCCCTAGTGGCACCCAGAAAGACCTGAGAATACTGTCCCTTCTCTTCCTACCAAGCACTCAGCTCCTAAATCCTGGGACACTCAGAGAGAAACATTACATTTTCCTCACTCTTAACTCCACAGCCCTGGCTCAGAGATTTTGCCTGGAGGCAAAAGCAAGCCAGAAAAACAGATGCAGGTTAAGCATCCCCAATCTGAAAATCCAAAAACCCAAAATCCAAAATGCTCCAAAATCTGAAACTTTTTGAGAGCTGACGTGACACAGGAAACACTCATTGGAACATTTTGGACATCACATTTTTGGATTAGGAAGGCTCTACTGGTATGTACTTTGCAAATATTCCAAAATCTAAAAAAAATCCGAAATCCAAAACACTTCTGGTTCCAAGCATTTTGGATAAGGGATAGTGAACCTGTAGTTCCTAATCTCTTCTCAAAGGAATCACTTTCATTTAAAGCAGAATGTAGAAAAGTTCATGTCTAAGGGTGCTCTCAAACACAGTGGAGGTTGTGATGAAAGGTAATTAGGAGAAGACTGGTAGACTCGTTGGACACAGAAGCAAAACTGCAGGTCAAATAGTTTGTCTTAGAGAACCAGGGAAATCTCAGAGATAACTGGGAGGAGCCTGCTTGGAATCATAACAAAACTTGAACACTAACCTAGAGAACCATCAGTTCCACAAAGCCTGAATTTGATTGGTTGAGTCTGTGGAGCAATTTACATTCCAGGAAAATGTTAAAAAACAAAAGAGCCATCAGCCAGCAATTAAAAGAGTTTAACAGCTGGATGTGGTCAGGGAAAGAAACAATCAAAGAGGAAGGAACAGTTCCCAAATCATGTTGTGAAGCCAATGTTACCCTGATAACCAAAACCACATAAAGACATCATAAGAAACTAAAACTACAGATGAATATCCCTTACAAATATGGATGCTAAAACCCTCATAAAAAATACTAGCAAAGCAAATCCAACACATATAAAAAGAATTCTGCACCGTAACAAAATGGGATTTAACACAGGAATGCAAAGTTGGCATAACATCCAAAAATCAATTAATATAATATACCATATCAGTAGAATGAAAAACAAAAAAAAAATGATCATCTCAATAGACATAGGAAAAGCATTTGACAAATCTCTCCCCACCCATGATTAAAACACTCAACAAACAAGGAATAAAAGGGTAATTCCTAAACCTACTAATGAGCATCCATGAAAAACAGAAAGTTAACGTTATATTTAACGGCGGAAAACTATATGCTTTCCAAGATTAGAAACAAGACAAAGATGTCTGTTCTCAGCACTTATATTCAACATTATACTGAAGGTTCTAGCCAGGACACCTGAGCAAGGAAAAGAAATAACCAGCGTCCAGATTGGATAGGAAAAAATAAAACTATCTCTATTTACAGGTGACATGATCTTATATATAGAAAATCCTAAAGAATCTACTATAAAGTATTAAAACTAATAAATGAGGACAGCAAGTTTATAGGATATAAGGTCAGTGTACAAAATCAATTGTATTTCTATACACTAGCAATAAACAATCTGAAAACAAAATTAAGAAAACAATTCTATTTATAATAGCATCAAAGATAAGAAAGTACAGGGCTGCCTGGTTAGCTGATTGGTTAGAGTGCAGTGTTGTAACACCATGCTCAAGGGTTCAAATCCCCATACTGGCCAGGTGAGGAGGAGGAGGGGGTGGGGGAGAGGAGAAGAAAGTACTTAAAAATAAATTAAAATAAATGCAAGACTTGTACATGAAAACTACAAAACACTGTTGAAAAAAGTTAAAGAAGTTCTAAATAAATGGAGAGCTATTCCATGTTCATGAACTAGAAGACTTAATGTCAGGATGGCACTACTCCCCAAACTGATCCACAGAATATTGCTGCTACAGGGGCTGGCTGGTTAGCTCACTTGGTTAGAGCATGGTGTTGGTAACACCAAGGTCAAGGGTTCAGATCCCCACACTGGCCAGCTGCCAAAAAATAAAAAGAAGAAGAGTGCTGCTACAAACATTTTTGTATATGCTCTTTTGGTAAATACATGAAAACACTGCTCTTGGGTATATACACTCACACACTTTAATTTCTCTAGTTTTATATTATCTTTATTTCTACCATGAAGAGTTTCTCAAAGATTTCTTGACATTATTAGGTATTTTTTCCTTTAGAAGATTTTTAAAAAATCCTTCCAGAATTTGTGAAAAATCTCATTAAGATTTAGATTGTAATCTTATTGAATTTATAATTTATTTAGGTCTTTAGTAAAATCTTATAGTTTTCTTAACACAGGTCTTACATATATTTAGCTATATTTATTCTTGGTTATGTATTTATTTATTTTTTACAAATATTTTTTATGTCATATTTTCTAATCAGTTATTGCTGCCATATAGAAATACTATTGATTTTTATATGTTGATTTTGCATCTAATCACTTTATAAGACTCCTTAATTAGTTCTAATAATTGTTCAGCTTATCTTCTTGAAATTCAAGGCATAGGGTTATAATATTAGAAAACACCAACACTGTTGCCCATTTATTTCCGACACTTACATCTTTTACTGTTTTGTTTTGGACTGGTTAAGGCCTCACACACAAGGCTGGACAATAATGGTGAGACCTTGTGAATAATAATAATAATAATAATAATAATGTCTTATTCCTGGTGTCAAGGAGCTAATAAGACAGTTAAAATCTTCAACTCTATAATAAACATTAAAAAAAAGGATATGTTAAAACATTTTTAATTGGGAGACCATAAGGCTGGGACAGCGCTAGTGCTTTAGGTTTCTATGTAAGGAAGCCAAAGCTCAATGTAAATAGTGAAACAAAACTAGAGACTTTACTAATCAGAAACTGCCAACTAACCTCTAACTGAAAGATCTTTCCACTCTAACCAATCAAATATATTTTCTTTGTCTTACTTCTGTGTTCAGCTTATAAAAGCTTGCCGCACACTATGCTGCAGCAGATCTCTCTGAACCTCTTCTGGTTTTGAATGCTGCCTGATTCATGAATCCATTAATGTTCAGATAAACTCTGCTAAACTTATTTTGTCTAAAGTTTTTCTCTTAACAGATGTCATTTATGACTTCTAAATCTTCTTTCACAATTATGAAATTGTCTGTGTCTTTTAATAATTCCATCTTTGCATTCATCTGTAAAAGTGTACTGTGTTATTATCTTCCAAGAGATCACAAACATGTTAAACACTAAGACTCCATCATCTTTTTACTCAAGGCATATTATGTAATTGAAATTAAAGAGTAAAACATCAACTAATCTAACATATACCATTTTGTCATTTGCTTACAAATTCTCCTCAATATATCATGATACTATATTAACATTATAACACGTGCAGTGTTTCTCATCTATGTGTGCTCTTTGGTGTCCTAACAGAAGTGAGGTGGAGGTTGGAGGAGAAAAAAGTCTATATTAAGAAAGAATTCTTTTTTGGGTTAAAAGGTAAACCGAAATTTGGTGTTATATACTATATAGAGTTTCATGAGGACAATTTTTCATCAGAATAGATCCTACCTTATTACTGTTTTAGAGTATTGATTTATTTCCCTCCCTACTTTTCAGAAAAACATAATACATAGAAGAAATGTACATCTAAAAATCTAATACACCATTCCCTATGGAAATGTTATGAATATTATGATCAGCAGCTAATCCTGCTGTTTAATTTTACATTTTTACCAACACAAATGTTTATATTTCTCAATTTTTGTTTTATTAACATCTCTTCACTGATAAATGTTTTCAGTAATAAAATTTTAGCATACATTCAAAAGGCTACTTCAAGATCTTCATGGAAAAATAGAATTAAAAGATAATACAAATCTCTCCATGAACTTTTTTTTTTTTTTTTTTAAAGACCAAAACAAAAGGATAATTTTAATTATTAATTTTTAGGATTTAAATGGTATAACAAATTTAAAGTACATTTTATGCAGTGAAATTTTAAAAAAGAGTTCTATAGCATACACACCTTCTTTTGGGGAAGGATCTTTTTTTAATTGAATCATAATTGATTATACATATTTTTGAGATTCAACCTTCATACACTCATTTATTATTTTTCTAAGTTAGAAACTTAAGAAAAAAATCATCTAACTGAAGAGTTTCACAGAAAACAATTGCCTTAGGCTCAACAAACATACTTCAAAGAAATAAAATTAAAAGTGAAATAAATGTAGTGGGGTAAATTAATTATGACTGTTTTTTCTTTCAACTGGTCTCTTATTTTGTGATAAAAAATTATTTAAAATATTGGCAATTTTTCCATATGAGAATATGCATATTTATTTACTGATATCCAGTCACTTGGCTATAAGTAATTTTTTCTGTATATATTAACATTAACAAATATTTCCCCAAATAATTTAATGTTATTTTTCACCACTGTCAATGTTTGGCTCTTATGTATTGAAAGAATCAATTGTATGTGTAGGAAAAAAAGCATATTAATATTTAAAGTTACCTGTACCAGAAGTGTTATTGGGCCACTTTTATCCACTTCTAGTATTTCACCATTCTTTGTGCCAACTAAAATATGACCATGTCCTAATGATATGGCACGTATAGACGGGTTATCTTCCAAGAGAAGACCTGAAATGTTAAACGGAGATGTTCTTCTAGGTATGAAGTCACTACAATATAGGATGTATATATTGCCAATGACGCTTTTTTGACAGTGAAATCACGTTACAAGGTTGCTTCTTCCAGCATTCTAAATATTCTAATGAATGCACTGCATTCTCCCCAGTCATTCAATTTACTAATCTCAAAATAAGTACCATCTATATATTACAATTCTATGATTCCAGATCCCCTACTACCATTCTGACAACTTTCTTTACCTCTTATATTAGCCACTCTTCATCCACCTCTTGCACTTCTTAGAACACTTACAATATTATGATTAGTAATTTTAATTCGACTTAAGATATATTTGTTTATGTCTACTGTGTCCAAGGCAGGCTTCAGTGACATATTAGTAAATATATCAAACCCTGTTCCCACCCTCACAAAGCATACAATGAAGAAAACAGACCCTGAGGGAGGAGCATATTGAAAAAGAAGCACATAGCAAGGGAATTTAACCTTGGGGGGGGGGGGGAGGTGAGGATGGAGGGGTCTTCCTAAAAGAAACAGTGTTTGAGATTTGAAAAATGAGTATGTGGTCAGGTAACTGGAAAGAAGAGAAGGGGAAAATCTTAGGCAAAAGTAATCTCCTGTAGAAAGTCCTAGAGGTCAGAGAGAGTGTGGTGAAATACCTTAAAGGAAGAAGTGCACTGAAATAAAGGGCAACGGGAAGAAGGGCCTTTGAGGCTCGAGAGGCAAGGTCAACAAAACGCCAAGTCTGCAAACAAGCACCTGACCAGACATAAATGTGATGCTTAGATGCTCACATGGATGTTTTCTCAGAAAAATTTAAAATGTTAAAAATTAACATTAGTAAATAAATTAATAAAACAGATTTTTGAAGGGACAGCAATGATTCTCGTGTCCAGTTAAGTGATTTCTCCCGTTTAATTCTGATGCCCCTTCAAGTAAAGAAGGAAAAATATATTCCATGTGTTCCACCTCAGTGATCAAGCATATTAATGAGCAGTCAATCTTTTTTCCTACAAAATAGACCAAATCTCAAAATCACCTTTAGATCCTGGGGCCAAAGCAGCTCTTTTTATAGCATAGGTCTTGAGACATCTTTCAAAGGAGTCATCCCAAAGAGCTACCACACCATCTTTTCCTCCAGTTACAAATCCCTATGAAAATGAAAGGTTCAACTTAATAAATATATAAATATTTTTTAAAAGTAATAAGCTTCTTTATATTGAAAAACTCTAGAGAAAAGAATATATCTGAAAGTTACATATTATAAAGAACATGGATTAGCAAAATAATCCATTGTTTTTTTATAATGCCAACATGGAATCTGCAAAAATATTTACAGTGACATTAAATATTCTACTTTTAGGATAAGATTTTAAAAACATAGTTTCTAATTTGGAACTATAAGTTAGATCTACCACTTTCAGCAAGTTACATATATTCTCCTGTAGACTTCATAACCTCATCCTTTAAAAAGAAAGAATAATGGTACCTACCTGGATAGGATATGGTGATTATATATAAAGCACTTAGCATGAATTTTGACTTAATAAATATTAAGACAAACTTCTTTTTTTTAACAGAACTCCTATTTCATTCTATGTTCAGGAGTTTGAAAAGAGGAACAAATTAAACTCAAGAAGAACCCCAAACTATTATTGGGTGGCCCGGCCAAGTAGAAAGGCAATGTTTCTTTGCTTCTGAAAATGCTCTACACTTGATCAAATTATGTTAACTTAAAATCTCTTTAGGTTACTTACTTTTTCCAGTGCATGCATACTGAACACTGGCCCATCATGTGCTTTAACTGTTTTTACAAGAAAGATGTCTCTCCATATACACACATCTCCTGTGGATGTTCCAGAAAAAGCCATCTCTTCAGTCCATCCATAAACTGCACACATCATTGTGTCATTTTTCCCCAGTGTGCCTATGTAGCCTTTTCTTCCAATCAATCCTCCCCCTGGTGCATAAAAAATATTATAAAAGTATCACTTTCAAAATATACACAATTATAAAGACGTAAAGTTTCTTTTCTACTGTTGTTGTCATTTTAATAGAAAGATATGTAATAGTAAGGAGAATTAATAAAAATACTGGTCTCTCAATCAGTGATTTGGGCAACATCCTGCATGACTGCTTTTAGGTCATAGCTTTTTGGATACACATAGTTATGGACTAAGTCAGTTTTAATCAGTCTTTAGCACTTTTGATGATGTTTTTCAAATTTTTTTAAGAATGTAAAAAGATATTAAAAACCCAGTACACGGCCGGCCCGGTGGCGCACTGCTACAGTGCGCCGCTTGGGAAGCGCGGTAGCGCTCCCGCCGAGGGTTCGGATCCCACATACAGACCGGCCGCTCACTGGCTGAGCGAGGTGCGGGAGCAACACCGAGGGTTGCGATCCCGTTGCCGGTCCCGGTCTGGTACGGGCGCGACACTGAGGGTTGCGATCCGTTGCCGGTCACGAAAAAAGACAAAAAAACAAAAACAAAAAAAACCCAGTACAATGAACACCTTTATAACCACTATCATCCTACAAAAAAACTCCAAAACATCTGAAACATAATGCCAATCCCATCTCCCTCACTTCCTACTATTCTGAATGTGATGTTAATTATTTTCTTGTATTCCTTTATACACATCTTAATACACATTTATAAATTCTTAAGTAATAAGTCATATTATTTTTCACATTTTAAAATTTTCTATAAATATCATTCTGTATGTATTCTTTTACAACTTGCTTTTTTACAAATAATTTGTTATGAAGTTTTATACATCTTCATTTGTACCTCTAGAAAACTCATTTTCATATGTATATGGCATTCTATTATGTAAACATATCACAGTTTATCCATTTTCTCATTAAAAAGAATTTAAGTTGCTTCCAAGTTTTTGCTACTGAAAACAATGCTGCTTTAAACATGCTCGTAAGCGCTTTTTCTATACAAATGCAAGAGTTTCTCTAGGGGGCCGGCCCCGTAGCTCACTCAGGAGAGTGCGGCGCTGGTAGTGCAGAGGCCGCGGGTTCGGATCCTATATAGGGATGGCCAGTGCGCTCACTGGCTGAGCGTGGTGCAGACCAAACCGTGCCAAGGGTTGCGATCCCCCTACACACACACACACACAAAAAGTTTCTCTAGGAACACTTAGGAGTAGTCATAGCATAATGTGCAAAAGCAGCAGCATATAAACAACAGAGGGGTAACAACTCTTGCCAACTTTTCTCCAAAGCTGATATGCCAACTTGTACTTCCACTAACAATGAAAAGAGTTCCTATTGTTTCCTACCTTCAGGAACACTTGTTATTGTCAGACTGTGGAATGTGAAACACCAACTGAATTTTACTGTGGTTTTAATTTGCATTTCTGTGATTATTAATGAGCTTGATCATATTTTTATTGAACACTCATTACGTATTGATGTCTTTTGCCCATTTTTTCAGCTGAACTCATTCAATCATTTATTCATTCAAGAAATATATATGCCAGGCACTATTCAAGGCACTGGAGATAGAACTATGAACAAAACAGAGAGGACGACAACATTTCTTGCTTTAATAGAGCTTCATGGTGAGAGACGGTCACTAAATCTGACAAATAAGCAATATGTACAGTATGTTAGATGATGATAGGTGCTTTGGAGAAAACGTAAGTATAAAAAGGAGATAGGAAATGGGAGAAGTCCATTTTAAGTAGGGTGGTTAAGGTAAGAAGGTGGTATCTAAGTGAAGACTTGAAAAAGTTAACAGAGCAAGCCATGCTAGAAGAGTGTTCCAGGCAGAAAGAGGAGCAAGCGCAAAGATCCCAACATGAGAATATGACTGAAGTCTTCAAGGAACAATCAGGGAGACCAGTAAGGAGTACAAAGAAAGTAAGGAAGATAGTAACAGGAGATGGGATCAGAGAGGTCAAAGGCAGTATTGCAGACCATTATAAGGATTTAACTTTTACTCTACATGAGATGGAAAACATTCGAGTAGTGGAATACGATTTATTAAAAAGTTTATTTTGACTTCTGGGTTGAGAGTAGACTGAAGCGGGAGAAGGATAAAAAGAATTAGAAGGCTATTTCAATAATATGAGCAAACGATAAAGGAGGCATGGACCAGTGTGGTAGCATGGAAGATGACAAAAAGTAGCCAAATGTATAAAGAAGATTATCTTTTCTTAACAGAGCAGCCAGAGTCATTAGTGACCTTGCAAGAACAGTTGGGTGGAGTGGTAAAGGAAAAAAAGCAGAGTAGATTTCTCTCAGGAGAAAGAAAGAAGAGGAATTGCAAACTAAAAGTGTGACAACCGTTTGGAAGTGCTTCAGTATATGGGTAAGAAGAGAAATCGACTTCACAGTTGGAGGACAGAATTGAAAGAGGTTTTTCATTTTGTTTTATTTAAGATGCAGAAGGGTTGGCCTTCACTAGAGCACAGACTGTCTAGAGGAGGGTCAGCAAACTAAGGGCTGAGGGCCAAATCCTGCTGCCACCTATTTTTGTATGAAGCCCGCTGGAAGCAATTTAAACACTGTGAACCACAGAGACCAAGCTTGTCTCCTTCTCTGCTCTCAGAGCCTGCCTCCCTGGTTTGTGGCTACAACTAGCAGCTGCCCAAGGCCTGAGCTGGTCACCTACAGGTTGGGAATTTTACTAATGGCGACTGTTGGGCCCCTAGCAGTGGAATCTCAAAGCAGTTGCACTTCCTCCGGCCAGCTGCCCAAGTTCAGAAGGTTGGGCTCTCCAAAAGGAAAAGGACACACTGGGATCTATGTGTCACTGGGGCAGAGTGAAGCTGGCCATGGCTTCCCTCCCTGCCCCAACCTATCAGGTCCATTCCTACAGTAGGTTGATCTTAGAGAGAATGTCTCCAGTTAATGGCAACTGGGTACAAACATGGTAAGCAGGGCTGGACAATTTTCTCTCTTCTGTAAGTACCTACATAATATTCTTGATTTTGTCCTTTTGCCTGGAAAGCCTTATCTGGACATTTATAGAAAAAATTTGCCACCCCTGGTTTAGATCATTCATAGTTGGGTTTTCTAATACAGAATAACATGTTTCTATTAAGAAGGTCATGTCATCATTGCACTCAAAAATTTTCATTGGCTCCTGCCCCCTGACCTCCATGGAATAAAGTTCAAATTCCTTAGGAGAAAAACTAATAATTCATAACTTGGAATTACCAAAGCCTAGATCTGGGATGGGTGGCAAGAAGCTCCATTTTAGCCTCAGACCCACGTCATTTCCTTCAACTTAGTTTACCTAAAACTATGCATTTAGAGGATTAGACAACACTTGGTCAGATGAAGAAAGTAAGATCTTATTTCCCACTTGGCTAGTGAACTCTGTGGATCAGAACTCCAAAAGTGAGGAAGGCTGAAATATACACCAAAGCCTTAACATTTATACATTTATGGTTCAGTTTCAGGTCTACTATATGTCTAATCAAATTTAAGAAAAAAAAAAAGCTATTCAATTCAAATCTTTTCATTTTGAGACTATTTACTGTCTTTAAATCTTATTTCAAATTCATAGTTTTTTTAAAGACAGAAATATTCTAAGTGTTACTTGCTGGGTATCTATAATTCCAAGTGACTAAGACACCCAAATGAAAAGTTTGTTTAAACATATGGGAATGAAATTACAAATGTGAAAGTACTTCTTTTTACTTTGTAAATGTATACACTAAGATCTGATGAGTTTGTGATGAAGTATTAAATCCAAGTCTGAAAATCAATTCATGTCCTATGTAGATTATAACTTGAGAATCACTTGAGTTTGGGAAATGTCTTCACCAAGCTTACTCTTTCCTAATACACAGGCTACTTCAAAAAGTTAACGGACAGATTCATATTATCTTTTAATTTTATTTTTCCACAAACTTGCTGAAGTCCCCTCATGTTTCACTTCTTATATTTACATATTTTCTGTGAAAGATTTACATTTATTGAGACTTTGATGTCACATTGCTAGAATTTATAAGTATACTATTCTATTTTTAAAAGACATCATTTTTTATTTTAAAATGTGAACTTCTTCCACATTTGTAATTTACAGTTACAAATGATTAAAGTAACATAACATTCCAGCTCTATATCATCTTACAGCATATAAAATTTTTTTACAAAATTTTTCATTTTCAGTTTAGACTATAAAACATGTCTTTAAAGAAGGAAGGAGTCTGGACCTCAGTTGACTATCTCATATTAAATATTTTGCAAATATAAGTACTACATAAATATACCCAATAAATGATGATAAAATAAATCTTATATTTGTTTAAAATGTACCAAGACAATAGCGAATCACTTTTTTTTTTTAAATAAATATTTTGGATAATTTTAAATTTCCAGAAAAAATGCAAAGATAATACAGAGTATTCCCATATATCCTTATCCAGTTTCCCTAATGCTAACATCTTAATTACCATAGACCATTTGTCAAAACTAAGAAACCAACATGTTTGAAAGATTACTTATTAAATGAACTCCAGACTTCATTCAGATTTCACCAGTTTTTCTACGAATATCTCTTTTCTGTTTAAGGATCCAGTGTAGGATACTTAGCCAAATTGCTTTTAAAAGTACTAATTTCTTAAATTTCAAAGGAGTAAAAAGAAGCACTTCCTTACCCGCTCTACGCCAAAATTTCATGTGTTTAATTCCAGCTGTAATTAGTTTATCGGGCACATAGGGGTTCATCTTCACAACAAAAATCTTATCCTTACTTCCTCTGAAATAAATACCAAAATGTTTTAGCTCTGAAGATACACCTTTCCTGTACTAATCTTTTGCCTAATCCATACCCTATCTTGTTTACTCCATTTACTGAATATTTGTTTTGACTTATCTCTCAGATTTGGGCTGTGTAATCATGCAATTGTATATTTGTTCTTTTGTCATTATTATAACTTGTTAACTCTGCTCAACAGAGTCTCAAAAGATAGGAATAGTGAAAACTAAACTTCTTTTGGATAGCATCTATAACACCTACTATGTGCACAGAGACAACTACTTGTGGCATGAATGAAAGAGATTTTTTATAAAACTTTGTTACAACTTAATATAATAATTTAAGAACAAAGTTCCTCTTAAACTATTGCTTATTTGGGCATTATCTTTATATTCTGCAAAAATCATTTATCTATATTTTTAAAGTGCTTTAAAATCTCACTTTTAGAAACAGGAAGTTAAAAAAAAGAGTCTGACATTGTTGACTATCTCCTCCTTTAAAGCATTGTTACTAATTTTTATTATTAAAAAAATACATGCTCATCCCCAAAAATTTAGAAAATGAAGAATATAACATAAAAAAAATAACCTATAACTTCTTTGTGATATATGAGTATATGTGCACTATTATTAAAAAAATACATGCTCATCCCCAAAAATTTAGAAAATGAAGAATATAACATAAAAGAAATAACCTATAACTTCTTTGTGATATATGAGTATATGTGCACGAATCTTTTTTTACTTCAATATATCTGAGTATATCATCATGCTCTCCATTGGTTATAGAATAGCCTGCCATATAGTAGAATTCACTCTACCTATAAATAGAAATTTTAGATAATAGCTGTTTCCAATGCCATATTATGTTAAAAAGTGGGTTCACAAGGGATAAACCTACAAAGGAATCTTAAAATCATTTCTCTTTTACCTAGATTATATTATTTATTCAATGGTAATAAAGATGGCAGCAATACAAATGTTACACAGTTGCTTGATTCCAAATTCTTTTAATTTTTATAAGTTTTTATTTTTATTTTTATGGCAGCTGGCTAGTACAGGGAACCAAACCCTTTGCTTTGGTATTACAAGGCTGTACTCTAACCAACTGAGCTAACTGGCCAGCCACTAAAATAGTTTTAAGTCCAAAGTAATTCCATTATTTGGTCAATGTGATATTACGTTTTTCTCCCTACCTTGCTATTGAAAGTTTCTCTCCTTTCTTCCAGTCCCACAGCACAATAGTGTGGCTATCATCTATTCCAACTGAAGCCAAACGTTTCCCATCCGCTGTGAAAATTAATCAGAGAGATATATTAACCATTAACATTCAGAAGATAAAGAACATTCAGTGTATATTTTAAAACCATGGCATTATATTCAAAATTCGATAAAATAATGTTAAATATTAAGCACACATACATGTTTTAAAAACTCAGAATTTATAAGGGAGGGAGAATAACAGTTTCTCGAATCATCTAAACATATCTGCTGTCATCTCACCTGACCTCATTTACCTTATTCTATCCATTAGGTAGGAATGGGAAAGGGGAGAGATAAGAAAAGTGGAAAAAAAAACATTAAAATGGAGAAGGAAAGGAAAAATTTAAAAAGGAGGGGAAGAAAGATTTATTTCAATTAAATTTACCATAAGACCTCTATTGTGAGATAAGAACTTATAATGATTACGAAAAGAAGATTATCAAATGAGAAACATGTAGGTTACAACATATTGCCATTAACATCATTGCTTTTAATGAAGGTCAACTATTTTAGTTGTTATTATCATCAAGCAACAAGTAATGAATATATTAGACAAATCATTGAGAGATATGACTGATGAGACAGGCTGGCAGGTGTGCATGAGTTTATAGGTTATAAACACTCAGACTACTAAAAAATTTTTTCCACTCTGCCCCGCCTTTTGCTAACTTCAATTAGTTCCTCATTGCTACCAGTGGTATTTTTCTTGCTGACCCACTTAATATGCTATTCATTTTCTTGTTTCTTGACTATTAGCCAATCCTTGAACGTGTATACATTTTTCCCCCAAAACTCTACTATGGATAACTTATCACTTCAGTTAGAGCAGCAAAAAGTACAAATTTACTGTTTCTCTACATAGAATTCTCTATAATGGTATTTCCTTCCTCTCCCTGATCCATACCCTAAGCTTTCATTGTAGATCTGTCTGTACTTGTTAAACTTAAATATACAGCAAAGTGCTAAGATGATCTGAAATAATTTTACAAAACATCTTGAAATTGTCACTTTACAGAAATGTCTAAAACAAATATTTCAGTTCTTTCTTAGCCTTTTACCCTAAACATTTTCAAAGTTTACTCTGTGGCCGTAAAACATTAAGTGAAATCAGGTTTGCCCAAAGTAGGAAATACACACTAGTAGTGTCAACTGAGATGATTTTAGGTATTATGCAGACATTTCTTATTTTTATATAAATATGCTAATTTTAATGGGCATGAAAATTACACTCATTAAATTATAATTATAAACTAGCTGGCAAACCCACACTTTCATAGTTGTATTTGATTAGGACAACAGTATGCACATTTGATAAAAATTGTGAAGGTCATAGCTAAATGACAAGTAGGTAAAAATACTATATATTGCCTCTGCATTTTCATCATTCTTATTGAGATAGAAAAAAGCCTTACCTGAGAAATCAACAGCACAGACACCATATTGGTGGTAGCCCTTTAATATCGACAATGGTTTAATAGTCTCTGTGTCCCATATATGAATTGAGGGATCCCTACCTACCTAAAATAGAAAGAATTATAAAGGCCATTTTATACAATTAAATTATTTATATATATATATATTAGAAGGAAATAAAAAGAGATTTTACAGCTTTTGTTTTATTTCCTATAGAAATTTATCAAATAAAAAATATAAAGCAGACTGTATGAGCATGACTGATTTTTTTTTCTTGTATTAATTCGAAAGCTAACAAGGCTAGGGTCAGTGTTTCTAGAAATGTCCCAGAAGTAGTGACTCCTAAATCTTATTATAATCTAAATCTCCTTATAATCTGTATCATCAATAAAGATAATAAACTTACTAAGCACCTATTACAGTTTCTATGCTAGATACAATCAACACTAAGATATTCAGGTAACTTATGCAAAGTCATTCAGAAAACAGGACATTTTCAATTAAATAAGAACACCTGGTAACATACATATGCTTAACGAGAACGAAAAGGTTGTAGAGAGAGACTTCATTGAAGTGATGGTACTGGAGCTGGGCCTTTAGAAAGTGCGGGACTTGGATAAAAAGGGAAGAAAGTAAGCACATTTTAGACTAGGATGAAGGTGTAAACAAAGATTTAGAGGAGGTTAAAGCACCAAACATGTAAACAAGTCCTTGAATAGACAATTTTACTGCAGCACTCTGTCATTTACCTTTTAACTTGGTTTGGTTCACTAATACACAGGTAAAATATCAATTCTTAATTATTCCTCTAGACTCAAGGAATTACTTTCTTTAATTATAAAGATAAAGAGATATAATATCTTTGTATATAAAGGCAACTCCTGAAATAACTAACATCACTGTCATTTGACTGCCAGTAGAGATATGAAAACAAAAATGATGACAAAACCAAAGCAAAGATTAAAGGTAGAGAATCAAGATATATTCAGGACATAGAACAGATGCAACTCCAAAAGTGACTGGTTATAGGGGCTGAAGGAGAACAAGAAGGTTGACTCCCAGACTTTGGCAACCAAGTTAATATGGTGCCATGTTCTAAACAGGAAATGTATGAGGATGAGCAGGTTTGGAAAGGAAAATTAATCCTATTTATCTTCATTTTAGACATGTTGAGTCTGAGCTGCCCACAAGTCAACTAAATGAGTATATTTTTAGTGAATTATACATATACAGTAATTTGTCAACTAGATTGTGAGCTCTTGATAGCGGCACCCAGTCTTAGCGTACGCGTGTGCGCACGCGCACGCGCACACACACACACACACACACACACACACACACACACACACACGTTGCCAGTCAAGCTTCTTTCACCTCCACTTAACATCACAATTCCTGTCAAGGGGTCATTCTTTGTGCCATATTCTCCAAAAAGCAAAACAAAACTCTCTTTAGATTTGTCATCTAAATTTCAAAACACTTAGATAAAATACTTCAGAAGTACCTCTCCTTTTACTAAATGTATTTTTTCATTCTGAACAGTTTTAACACATTTATTTTAGAAGTCCATAACTTTATACAGATGGGATTGGTTGGTTGTAATATAATACAGGAAAGAAATGGAAAACACCAGGAAAAGTAGAGGAGGCAGTATGAGCCTGGGCCTTGGGAGAAAGGCTTTGAATCTGCAGTGCCTAAAGCAGAAATGCTGTTATGTAAGCAAAGCCAGAAGGAAAGGAGCTCTGGCTTAACGGGCATCCAGGGATGTCCCGTGGCATACTGACTTCTTATTTAATCTGACCTGAGTTCCCTAAAATCCCAGAATCATGGCAGTAAATGGCCACTTTTTGACAGTCTTCATTTCATTAGTACCAGAATAATGTTCAAACTTCTTGCCACAGCTCACAGGTACATAACTGTGCTTCAGAAGGAACCATTTATATAAGCTAAAGGTAATTAGTGCCCCTAAAAACCCCATTTACCCTTTTGATTAGTTATTCCACTAATGTCCATCACGTACTCTAAGATTTGAATAATGTGGGCTACTTATGTTTCTTTAAATAAGCTGTGATTTTTTTTTGCCCCACTTTTACACATGATGTGATATATTTAGAATGCTTTCTCCAACTTCCCCTCTGCCAAGTAAACTACTCAACTCAAATGTCACCACCTCTATGAGGGTTTCCTTGATTCTACTGGGCACAATTAATCAGTGCTTCATTACATTGCTACCAGACTTTGTACATACCTCTACATTAAAAAATGGGGTGATGTTGCCTCCCAGGGGACATTTGGTGCTGTCTAGAGACATTTTTGGTTGTCACAGCTCAGGGGGTTGGGTATTACTTTTATCTAGTAGGTAGAGGCCGGGGATGCTGCTAAACATCCTACAATGCATAGGTCAACCTCCTAAAACAAAGAATTTCTGTCCCAAAACATCAATAGTGCCAAGTCTGAGAAGCTCTGATCTATCCTATGACATTGTATCACAATTTTTCCTGCATGTATGTCTTTCCTCTCAGGATATGAGTGTTTAACATGGCAAGATATCTTATTTATCTTTATATTCCCAGCACATTCCCTGGTTCGTAGAATGTGTTTGATGAATGTTTTTGAATGAATGAAAGAAAGGAGGGAGAAAAAGGAGGGAGAAAAGGGTAAGAAGGAGACAATGGGAGAAAGAAAGAACATGGTAGGCACAAAGGAAGGAAGGAAGGAAGGGGGGAGAAAGAAAAAAAAGGAAGAGTTTACTCTCCTTTCAGGGAAGCTCTATAGGATAACGCAAGTTGCCTCCCCTTACCCACCCCATATATCCTAGAAGGTATATTTACACAGTGTTTAAAGCCAGCCAGACTAAGGGCTTTAGGATTTACTACTAATTAGCTTTCCTACTAATTAGGTTTTACTACTAATTACTACTCAGGGCTTTGGGCTTTACTACTAATTAGAGATCTTGAGCAAATTATTTAATTTCTCTAAACCTAAACTCTCTCATTTGTAAATTGGAGGAAATGATTTCATTCTCATAGGGTTGAGTTGAGAATAAAATGAATATACATTAAGAAACCAGTATAGTACTTACACATCATAAGAACTATAAACATCACTCCTTCTCTTCCTTCTCTAAGAATACCCATATAAAGAGGTATCAGTGAAGACTTTTCTCAGTGTTTTCTATTTCAATATTTGTACTTTCTACTTTGGTAAACCTAAATGTCACAGAACATATGTTAAATAATTTATTGTATTATTTAGGTAACTCAGCCTAAGAAAACAGATTTCTAATCTCTAGGTTCTTTATAATTTTTTACTCACAAATTTAAAAAGCGAATGTCCTGACAGAAAAAAATGAGCCAGATCTCTTAGTTCCAAATTCAAATTAAGATAATAATTGAAACAATAAAACTATAAGGAAAACTGTAGGAAAAGAGTTGGGGTAAATTTTATTTATGATATAAAATAAAATCCCATTCTAAAGAATTCTTCACTCTTTATTTCCAAGAACACGAAAGATATATATATATATATATATTTTTTTTTTTTCCAGGCCCTCTTGTGGATATTGAAATCTGCAGATGCTCAAGTCCCTCATGTAAAATGGTGCAGTATTTGCATATAACCTATGCACATTCTTCTGTGTAGTTTAAATCATCTCTAGATTACTCATAATACATAAGACAATGTAAATGCTTTGTAAATAGTTGCTATACTGTATTGTTTGGGAAATAATGACAAGAAAAAAAGTCTGTACATTTCAATACAGACATAATTTTTTTTTCCATAATATTTTCTATCCATGGTTGGTTAAATCTACAAATGCAGAACACATTGATACATAAGGCTGACTGTATATATGAGTATAAAAGTGAAATAACCTAATTTTAAACTCAGTGGTCTAACCTAATCTGGCTTATTGTCACATAGTCTTTCAAAGGAACCTACCTGGCCTGTTGCCACATAGTCTTTCAAAGGATGTATAGCCAAGCAGAGAATATCATCATCATGACCCAAGTAAAAACGCTGTGTGTTCTGTTGTCGATTATAAACGACACCCACTGCTGCCACATGGTACACAATTTCACCAATTTGGGTATAAAATAGATTACTTCGACAGTCATAACCTCTGTAACTAATATAGAAAACAAATCATATAAAATTAATTTTTGCCTTTGATCTGATCAATATAGAATATACAGAGAAGAAGTAGAAACCTTTTCGATTGGTCATTTGATTTTCAGTTTTATAGGATGCTGAACAATTAAAGGAAATACCACTATCTCAGATCCCATAAACTTTTATGAACTGCTTTGATAACAAATTGCTAAATCCAAGCTATAATACTAAGTGAAAAAAGCAAGGTACAGAAAAGTATACACGGTACACAATTTACACAAGTATAATACTAAACTTGTGTACTATAAAACAAAACCAATTGATATTTAATAAGTAAAAGGGTATAGAAAGGAATATATATTTGTATTCATTGTACATGTAAAATTTTTCTGAAAGTAAGTAACAGTGATCATCTGTGGAGGGGAGAAATGACGGCTGGGAGAGCAAAGGTGAGAAGAAGATTTTCAAACTAAATCCTTTTGTATACATTGTTGAAACATGAGAATATAATAGATATTCCAAAAATAAGTTTAAATAACAATTTAAAAACATTAACTCATGCAGGAAAAAGTAACACCATCTTCTTAAAATGGTCAGTATAATTCCATTTATAGCAACCTAGCTTCGCACTTCAAGGAAATCCAATTCATAAAACATGACTGCACAATACTGCCTGTTTTAACACTAGAGGAAAAATACTTTTACTACATAAAACTACAGGCAAAAAGAAGTCACAATATCATTACTAATTAGACATATTTAGGGGAGATGATTATCTCTTACATCTTATTTTCATCTGTTTAAAGACAAGAGGTCTATTTTCTATAAATATAATACTAAACTTTCATGAGAGTTATTTAATAAACACTTATATAGTGCTTATTATATGCCAGACGATGTTCTAAGTCGCTAACATTGCCTTATTTACTCCTCATCAGATAGGTACTGTTATCTCCATTTTACAGACAGGGAAACAGAGGCATAGAGAGGTTAAGAGACTTGCTCAAAGTCACATAGCTAGTAAGCATGAACCAAAATTCAAACACATAAATGAAAAACAGTTGTTTTATACCCATGAACAAAGTGTAATCGAATACTATTTCCTGGAGCCCTCTCTCTTCTTTTAGAAGTAGCACTTTTTTGTTTCTCTTTGCACTGTTCTTTAAGCTGAGGTAGATCTTCTTTGTAAACCTTTAAAAAATGTATATAAGTAGGAATATGCTTAAAATATATATTAATACAAACAAACAAACAAACAAAGACAGTTTGGGCTGGCTGGTTAGCTCAGTTGGTTAGAGCACAGCCAAGGTCATGAGTTTGGATCCCAGAACCAGCAAGCCACCATAAACAAACAAACAAAATATATCTTAATAAAGGTGCTCGTATATTCTTAACACAACTTTCAGAGACTATGATTACTGTTGATGAACTTTAGTGAATGTCTTAAATGAGAAGGTACTTTATGAAATTCACTTCCATAGGAAGAATAAACTAATTCACATTTCTATGTACCACACAAATACATATTTAGCATTCCAGAAAATTTTTATACTTCATAAGAAAATATACATATATATTTTTTTTTATAAAGATGACCGGTAAGGGGATCTCAACCCTTGGCTTGGTGTTGTCGGCACCACGCTCAGCCAGTGAGCAAACCAGCCATCCCTATATAGGATCCGAACCCGTGGCCTTGGTGTTATCAGCACCGCACTCTACGGAGTGAGCCATGGGCCGGCCTATAAGAAAATATTTTAAAGGGAATAAATGGGAGCATACTGGGACAAAATTCTGTAGGCAAATAGTAAACAGGAATACTTAGCATATCAAACACTTATTATAAAAGAACATTTTATTATTAAAGTGTACTTTAAGGCTTAAAGGGGGAAAACTAAAATAGCCATACATTGCTTAGGAAATTAAAACCACAATTGATAAAAATACATGAGTAATGGAGCAAGATAAAGAAGAAATTAGACTTTTCAGAAAAAAATTATGTGATAATAGAATATTACCTGCCGACGGTAGGTGAGCTGTGTTTCTTGTTCAATTTCAGAATCCAGTTCTGGAACATCAGACAGATCTGAATCTGATTCATCACTATTAGAGTCAGCCAGACTTTCTGTAATTTTTTTAAATGAAATGTTACTTGTTTAAAGAATATTCATTTTCAAAACAGCACTGCAAAATTAATGATTAAGAGTTGACTATGTCAGTTGACATGGAGACAAGCCATAAAACAATCAAATAAAATTACCTATTCAAGTGACACAGATGTCAGTAAACTGTACTACAGATTATCTTCCTCTCCACTCACTGCAAACTCAATAGATCCTTTAAATCCCTTCACTGGCTCCCCAATGACCGCTACATCAAATTTAAATGTCTGTGCAAATATAAGTGAATATAACCTATAATTAACATGAAAAGTAGCTAAAAAATACTATATGCAACATATGAATTGATATCAATTTTTCTGTCAAGAAAACACACAGGAAACCTAAATACCCATCTCCCAGAGAATACATTAAATGTTCTGCTGACATAAATGCTTCTTCATTTGTCATTTGATAGATTAAAATGAAACCAAAAGTACTTTGTATTCTACGTTCTATGATTTCTGATTTTAAACACATAAACCTAACATTTTAATTTGAAATTTCTCCTAACAGATACTGTTAACTTACAAGGCTAGAATACATTTCAATAGTAAAATTGTTATTTGGGGGTTATTGAAGAGTTATTTGACAGGGAAATTGTTCAGGCAATGTGTACTACTCACCTTGGGGTGCTATGTGAAGAGCATCTTTTAGTTTTCTTTCAGGAATAAATTTCCACTGAAAGACAGAGTGATCTGCTCCACCAATAGAAATAACCCACTGATAATCATGTGACCATCTGACATTAGTTACATGAGCTGAATGGCCAATATATTTTCTAAACTTGGCCCCTATAACAAAAATATATCTTTAAATTGATTTAAAAAATGCCAACACACAAAAATACCATTTCAAATGACAATTTCTAGACATGAACCACTGTGTTGTCCTTCCACTATCTTAATTATGATCAAATGGGAAAAATCCTGATTCAAAAATTGGTTGAATGAACAAAACAAAATACTTAGGAATAAATTTAGCCAATAAGGTAAAAGATTTCTACAATGAAAACTATATAACATTGATGAAAGAAATTGAAGAGGATACTAATAAATAGAAAGATATCCTGTGTTCATGGATTGGAAGAAATAATATTGTTAAAATGTTCATACTACCAAAAGCAACCTACAGCTTTAATGTAATCCTTATCAAAGTACCAATGACATTCTTCATGGAAGTAGAAAAAAAATCCTAAAATTTGTATGGAACCACAAAAGACAATTAACAGCCAAAGCAATCTTGAACAAAAAGAACAAAGCTGGAGGCATCACACTGTATGACTTTAAAATATACTACAAAGTTATCATAACCAAAACAGCAAGGTACTGGCATAAACACAGACTGCAGACCAATGGAACAGAATATGCAACACAGAAATAAATCCACACACTTTTAGCTAACTGATTTTCGACAAAGGCACCAAGAGCACAGACTGGGGAAAGGATAGTCTCTTCAATAAATGGAGCCAGAAAAACTGGATATCTACATGCAAAAGAATGAAACTAGACCATATACAAAATCTCACCATATACAAAAATCAAGTCAAAATGGGTTAATGATTTAAATGTAAGACCCAAAACTATAAAACTGCTAGAAGAAAACATGTGGGTTCATGACACTGGTCTGGGCAAGGACTTTTTGATAAGAACTTAAAAGCACAGGCAACAAAAGCAAAAATAGAGAAATGGGATGGCATCAAACTAAAAAGTTTTGTGCAATGAGGAAAGCAATCAACAGAGTGAAAAGACAATCTAAAGAATGGGAGCAAATATTTGCAAATTATGCATCTGACAAGGGTTAATACCCAGAATATATAAGGAACTCAACAGCAAAAAATAGAAATAATCCAATTAAAAAATGGGTAAAAGACCTACATAGATATTCCTCAAAAGAAGATATACAAATGGCCAATAGGTATATAAAAAAGTTCAACATCAGTAAACATAAGGAAATGCAAATCAAAACCACAATGAGCTATCACCTCACCCCAATTAGAATGACTACCATTATCAAAAAGACCAAAAATAGCAAATGCTGGCATGAATGTGGAGAAAGAGGAACACTTATACACCATTGGTGGGAATGTAAATTAGTACACCCATTATGGAAAACATTATGGTGGTTCCTCAAAAAATTAAAAATAGAACTACCACATGACCCAGCAATCCCACTACTGGCTATTATCCAAAGGAAATAAAATCAGTATGTTGAGGAGATATACGCATGCCTATGTTTACTGCAGCACTATTCACAATAGCCAAGATATGGACTCACCCTAAGTGTTCATCAACAAATGAATGGATAAAGAAAATGTGACATATATATGCACACAATTCAGCCATGAAAATGAATGAATCCTGTCATTTGCAGCAACATGGATAAACCTGGAGCACATTATGCTAAGTGAAATAAACCAGGTAAAGAAGGACAAATACTGCATGATCTTACTTATTTTAGAAATTTTAAAAAGCTGATCTTACAGAAGTTCAAAGTAGAATAGTAGTTATCTGAGGGTAAGGAAGGAGAGAAGGATGGGGAGAGATTGGTCAATGGGTACAAAATTATAGATAGATAGAAGTAATAAGTTCTGTTGTTCTATTGCACAGTAGGGCGACTATAGCTAACAATACTGTATTATATATTTCAAAATAACTAGAAGAGAGGATTTTGAATGTTCTCACCAAAAAGAAATGATAAATGTTTGAGGTGATAGATAAGCTAATTACCCTGATTTGATTATTGCACAATATATAAATGTATTGAAACATCACACTGTATCCCATAAAAATGTATAATTATTATATCAAAAATAAAATAAAACTTTAAAAATAGTTTGAATGAACAAATGAATAAATATATATCAAGAGATGCATATATTTTCTCTACTGTTTCATAATATACATTCTCTATATCTTCCTTTTGGTATGGGACAACAACTATACATATCCCTGTTAATGTATGCTGGATATAATAATGCTTAGCATATTAGTCTGTTTCTATTGCTTATAACAAAATACCTGAAAATAGTAGTTGACAAAAGTAAATTAAGACCAGAATGTGACACCATTTACACTAACTAGATTTGCAAAAATGAGAAAGTGTATCAATGCCAAGTGCTGAAGAGCATGTGAATCAGAGTTTATAAAATGGTATAACTACTTTAGAATACAATTTGACATTTTCTTATAAAGTTCAACATTCACATTCTCTATGATCCAGCAATTTCACTTTTAGGTATACACCTTTGAGAAAACTGCATATAATAAAAAAGACTGGAAATGACCCAAATGTCCACTGACAGGAGAATAAATGTAAAAATAGTAGCATATACTTACAGCACAATATTTCACAGCAGTAAGAAAAAAATGCACTAAAGGCACATGCAACAACATGAATGAATCTTAGAAAAACAGCACTGAGTAAAGTCTCCATTATAAATCTGTTTTGTTTGATATTTGTATCATTTTTCCAATAAATTTTCTTCTGGAATCTTAATAAATATTTTCTTCAAACATAAATTTTCATTTGTCAACAAGAAGAACAAAGAGGGTCTTGGTCATTATTAACAGTGATGGAGGTAGCAGATTAAAGCAACCCTGCCCTCAAATCCCCACTTTCCCCCCACCCCCACCTGCTCACCCTCCACCACTATAGCCCCTGTGCTGTTGCCCGGGAAGAGTCTGTTATCTGAGAGAGATTATGGAGAGAAAGAAGATAATAAAAGAAAAAGGAAAAAAAAAAAAAAGGTGGTACTGGTGAAATGCTTCGGTTTAGGACTGGAGCTGGGTAAATGTGGAGGAGGGGCATATGATCATTCTCTCTGAACTAACCTCAGATATTCTGTTTCAATTACAATGATTCTATAACATAAACTACTTCTATTATTTATCTTTCCACATTTTGTAAAAGCAGCACTTCTTAGATATTACTTAAGTGGATATCCAAAATATATTAATACAATTAGATACACTTTCCTAACCTTAAGTTAGACTGATAGTACCTTGTTTTTGCATAGAGGATGGTATGTGAAACACTGAGTAGGAGCTATGTCTAAGGATAAGATCATCGTTATTCTTACTGAAGAATCTAACCAGGCAAGTATCATCTTGAGTCACAATAAAATTTGTTGTGCCTGGTGACTCTTAAATCCTGGCTATGTGGTAGGATCCAGAAATAAAGTAATTGCTAGAGATTTAACTAGCCTTTATTAATGTAGTTAGTATTTCTTATGGAAGCACTTTCACACGGACCTAGGAAGTTGAAAACTCACAGGCAGGAATCAACAAATGGCAAAGACAGCGGGATTTTGAACTCACTACTTTACTGTGGAGGCAGGATACAAATACCAGCCTGAGCTTCCAGGAAAACTGGCCTCTTGAGTTTGACATCAGCTGACTACATATTTGAATCAAACTATTTCAGCTGTTTCCATAATCACCTTTAGTAAGTTGTATTTTAATGTCCGTCCTAGAGCTTTTATCAACAAACCAGTGAAAATCATTACTGCAACTGTTGGAGGTATTGATGCTCTAGGTATCGATGCTCTAGTACACACTCACTGTACCTAATATAAAGCCCCATACTAAAGGAGAGAGTTCTTTGAAAATTAAATCTCAGAAGAAACGACTTTCCACGAGGAACAAGTATGCTTTTGTGTGTGTGGACACAAAACTATTTTGTGTCCTGCTTTATTTTATTTTTCGTTTCCAGAATCAAATTTGATGTGTGACTATTATCACTTTGTTTATCTGCTTTTAATATTGTATTTCTTCTTATTTAATTTATTTATTACTGATTCTCCATTCATATAATTATCTTAGTACTTGTGGACTTGTTATAAGCTGATTCACATACTTTATGAAACGAGTCATGGAATAAATGAATGAGTACTAATACAGCATTTCATTCAATTATTCCCAGGTCTATGAACAGAATGATTAATATCACCATATTAGAAGAGATTCAAGAAAAAGAGGTGATACATAAAATATGTAGAAAATAACCATTGATGGGACCTCTTATTTTTCTTATGCCTGTTATAGAAAATAAACAAATGTCAAAACAATATACATATGTTAAGGATTTATGCAAAAACACATCCACACACGAAACCAACCAACCAATAGGTTCTAAACAATGACCTGGGCTTGTGCAGTTAACTGATTTCTCAGAATTCTTGAGAAAAAGACATAAGAAAAATGTCTCCAAAAAGATGTGTGTTCAACAAGTTAAATGATTAAAGGTAAAAAGCCATAAGAAAAATATAACCATCATTGTGCAGTCTGACTATATGAAGTGGGAAGAAAAATGTTTCTTTAAAAAGAAAGAGTATGTAATAGTCCATTAATAATATATAAATTCAAAAATGATTTTCTGATAAAAATTTCATGACCAAAAATAAATGCAACAGATGACGATAATTTTTGAATTAGCAAAATAAAAATTAGCTAATTCTGTTCATTTTCATGAAACCCTTTACCAATCAGTACACATTTTAAATAATATAAAATCCTCTTATTTATCTCGAGACTAATTTTTTGCAAGAACATAAAAGTCTTTCACGAGAGAGAGGTTACTTAATAGTATTTTTAAAGAAAAGATACCTTTTCTTAAACATGGATATCGGAATAATTTTATAACTCCATAGTCATCAGCTGTAACTAAAACTTGGCCAATATAATTTCCATCTACTGAATTTATATCATTGATATCCGAATACTTGGGCCAAATTCCATTCACTTCAAGGCCTGAAACACATGTCCATGAAGCCCAATGAACACCTTTTATTTCTTCTTTACTTGTCACTTCTTTTCCTCCTAAAAATAAATCAGTCTTAATTTAAGAAATTATTTCATTTGATTTTTACTCAAGCTTAAATTGTACTGATAACATGATAAACACCAAAATTTTAAATATCTTCCCACACCAGTTAAAGGAGAATACATGAATAGGTAGGTAAGTTTAGATAAAGAGAAGAGAAAACTAAATGCAAGGAATTTTTTTTAAAAGCCACTACCAAAATTAAACTGATTCAAGGACATACACAGATTTGAATATGATTAGCTTAACAGGTTCACCCATGTAAAGAATAAAATGGAATCCTATCAAAATCATGATACATATTAATCACAAAGGGTAACTTATCTGAAAAGGCAAAAGCTGTGAGAAAGTGGCAAATCAGATATTAAAAAAGAAACCTAAGGTATAGAGTTGAGGAAAAAGAGAGAACTGGAATAGATCAAGAAGGATGAATAAGAGGGCAGTAATATTTGCATATTTACATTACATAAGAAAACCTTGGATTCAGAAAATCTTCATTACAGATAGAGTATTAATGAAGAATTTTAAGGGAGATGCATTAATTTAATTATACAGCTAGTCTATTTAATAAGTTTGTGGAAGATAATGATTAATTCACTAAACATCACAATAAATAGGTACTAAGAGGTAATATTTTGTTACTCTTCTCTTTTCAAATCTTTGATGGGAACTTGGTTTTTCAAACTTAGTTTACTGGGTATATTATTAATATTTGCAAAACTTATTTGAGGTAGCCACAAAAAAGCAATTTATGGTCACACATTTATAGCAATTATATTTAGTAAATTAGTTCTGCCCACAAAAATGGCATTTTGACTCTCTAATATACAGTGGGACTTTACCATATACTACTCACATGGTATGGAATTCCATACAAAGTGAGTCTGTCTTAGATCTTCCAAGCAAAGGAGTTTTAATTAAGAACCAAAATTATATAGAACGGTGATTTACAGGGGATGGGGAAGGTGGAGGGGATGGAGAGATTGTCAAAGGGTACAAAGTTTCAGTTATGCAGGATGAATAAATTCTACAGATCTAATGTACAGCATGTTGACTATAGTTAATACCGTATTACTGTACTGTATACTTGAAATTTGCTGAGAGTAGATCTTAAAAGTTCTCACCATATATATAAAAAAGGTAACTATGCGAAAGTATGAATATGTTAGCTTGATGTGGAAGTCACTTTATAACATATATATATACATATATCAAAACATCATGTTATACACCATAAATATATACAATTTTAATGTCATTTGTACCTCAATAAAGCTGGGAGAAAACAAACAAAAAGAATTTTAATATAATAGGGCAGCTTTACAGAAAAAACCACAATGCCTGAAATATTAGCTCATCTCTTCTTTGATTTCCTATAATCAATTTTAACTTACATTCTGCTTCCAGTGAAATTCTAAAATATTGTATAGGCGAGTTCCGGTCAAGATGGCAGAAAAGATGGTCCCCACCATCACTCTCTCCCACAAATCAACCAATTTACAACTATTAAAAAGCAACAACAACTAAGCTGAGACCGCGAAAGATCAGGGGAAGAGGAGGAGAGACATATGGAATGCATGAAGGCAAGAAAAGCCATGATAAGAGAAAGAATCCCTCTGACCGTTTCAAGCCCCAAACTTCTCGAGCCCTGGCCACTTCAGGCTGGAGCTGTTAAGTGCAGGAAGCAGAAGCTGGCAAAAGCTGCAGCTATGCCCTTCAGACAAAGTTGCCTGGAGGCTTCAGGGAGAAGAGGCTCTTGGTGGCATCCAGGCCAGCAAGACTACTGACAGGGTTTCCGTGGACCCATATAGGAGCGAAGAGGCACAACAACTGAAAAAAAGGAGTCACTTAGAAGCTGGTGAGTCATCGCAAGGGACTGGTGCACCTCTTGTCCCATGGGAAGTGTTTGGAGTATGGGCAGTGGGGGAGACGGGCACACCAGGAGAACACTGGGGCACAGCAAGAATAGCTGATCTGCCCCCCAATCAGCACAGGACCACTCAGTGGAGTCTGGTCAGGAATACAGTACTGCAGAGGGTGTAATTAGATGAAAAGACTCAGGCCCACACCAGAGTTTCTACACAACCCAGGTGTACAAGATGTCACACGAGACCTGGAAGTACCTATAAAGTCAACCTTTAAAACCTAAGCTGTACAAAAAGACTTCTTCAGGTAATCCACAGCAAAGCAACAATTTAGCTCAACCACAGAGCTAAAGTACTGGTCCTCACAGGAAGTTCTTCCATTTTTGTAGTAAGCAAAGAACAACAAATAGTTCCAGTGCAGGGTATAAGTGGTGGGAACAGCAAATAATCCAACACAAAACTGAAAGAAAAAATAAAATACCCACAGACCAGAGACAAAGTTTGATATTAACTAGTAAAGATCTCACATCATCAAAGAACACGTATAAAACATACAAGGACCAGAAGTCCCCTGGGCTACCAAGCCAGGGAGCAGGGAGGGCTGGGGGCCTCAGCCATGCCCCCCAACACCCTCAAACAGCCCAGTGATGGACGACCACCAAGCTGCTGCAGGAAACACCCTGGGCTCTCCCAAGTCAGGGCTGTAGGGGGCGAGGGCTTCAGACATACCCCCCTGACATCTGCATTCAACGCAGCAATGACCAAGACACCACTGGAAGCTCTCTGGTCTCCCCTGCCAGAATGAGGAGAGTGCCACAGGCCTTAACCCGCTCCTCTTCCTTCCTCCTTCTCCACCCTATTTCCTTCCTCCTTCCCTTCTCCTCCTCCCCCACAACTGCTCTGCAACATCATAGAATGTAAAAAAATATTAATAAACTTTAAAAATAAAGCTGTAAAACCACACACACACACACACACACAACTCCCCCCCCTCAACTTTGTTGAGATACAATTGATAAATAAAAAGTGCATATATTTAAAAATAAATAAAATATTGCATAGGCACTAAAATCTATAAACTGTATATAATTTACTCAAATTTTTTTACCTGGCATTCTATAAAAAAGTCTTTTCCCATTTCCATCATTTGTCTGTAAATATCTAGTGTCTGAGGACCAGTCCAGATGAGTGATGAAACTAAGTGATCCAACACATTCACCAACTTTTTTGTAACGCTGAGCAACTCCATAAACATCAACTGAGCTGTCATTGCATCCAACAGCAAGGTAAGTTCCATCTGGTGAATATTTTAACTCATGAATTGCCTCCTTCCTATCTTTAATATGTACGACTTCCGTCATATCTCTGTTAAAAAGAAAAAATGAGACCATATGAACAAAAGTCACTACAGAATTAATTCTGTTTCCCAGTGTGTCTAAAATGACTGTGAAGCTGGATTGAGTATTTATAAACCATAAAATTAATGTAAATAAAACAAGTAATATTAGTTAAGGAATAATTATTTTGCTGAACAGAAATATATTTGGACAATACATACCAGAAATAGAGAAAAATTCAGCACCATGCTAACCAACTGAACTAGTTGGCCAACCCTGAAATTTGGTTTTTAAGTTACTTTATTTTTAAGTAGTTTAGAGATTGATACTAAATTTCTGGAGTCATACCATAAAGAAAATAAAGTCAGGTTTTTTTATGAACAAGAGAAGTTCTTTGTAAACACTGAGTTTATGAAAAATGTTTAATTATAAACAGTATAATTTTCAAACAAATTTTTGTAATGAGCTAAATGTGCAAAATTACATTTGGGAAATAAAGGAGGAATTGGTCTATATTACTTCAGTAATACATTTGAATGTATATCTTTATGTAGCAATCACTAATTATTTTTATTTAAACCTCTTTGACCTTTTTAAGCAGAACAAAAATTCCTCCCAGTTAGGGACCATGTTGACCAGTGAAGTTAAACATTTCTTTCAATGATGCCTTATAACTGAGTTTCCAAAATAATACAGGTATTGGTAACAGCCATAAAAAAGGATATACACTTAGTTTAATTCCACTGAGTTCCCAAAGTCTGTGGAGTTGGTGGGGAGGAGGAGAAGTAGGGGAGAGGGAGAGGGGGAGATAGAGGGGGTAGAAAGAAGTGAGAATTTCTATTTCCAATTAGTGCTAGGGACTTTTCTCCATATAAATTTTGCATCACCCATCTGAAATGCTCCACGTAGGTAATTTCAAAAACAGAAGTTTAAATGAATGCTTCTCAATTTTTAATGTTCCTAAATGGACAATTTAGAGCAATCACTCAAATTTCTTTTTATAACACTGAGTGCTTACTTTGTTTTAGTCACTGGGGATACAAACTTGAACTCACTTTCTACTGTGAGAGATTTAATATAAAGTATGATAAAATGTTGTGAGTTCTCAAAAAGAATGTGTGAAGTTCTACAAGAAATACTGAAAGAAGGGTTAAGACTAGACTAAAGGCAGGAATGGGTCAAGGAAGGGTGACAATCTGATTTAAGCATAAAACCTGAGGTGTTGGCTAGGTATAAAAGAGGAGGGAAGGTTTTCCAGTGTTATGGGTAGAATCTGTCCCCCAAAAGTTCATGTGTTGGAAACTTGATCTCCATAGTAACCGTGTTAAGAGGGTGGGAAATCTGATTATGATATTTGAAAGGTGGGGCCTTTGAGAGGTGATTGGATTGTGAGGACTGTGCCCTCGTGAATGTATTAATCGATTCACAGGTAATGAGGTGATGGTTTAATGGGTTGTCATGGGCATAGTTCTAATGACTTTATAAGGAGAGTGAGTGAGAAGGTTAGCTCTCTTGCCATCCTCGCCATGTGATACCCTGTGTCACTGTGGAGAATCACCACTCAGAAGACAGGCCTTCACCAGATGTATTCTCTGGACCTTGGACTTCCCAGCCTCCAAAACTGTAAGAAATAAATTTCATTTCCTTACACATTACCCAGTACCAGGTATTATTTTATAAGCAACAGAAATGGACTAATACCTCCAGGAAGACAAAACAGTATGACCCAAGGCATGGAAGTATGCAAGTATACGGTACATTTGAAGAATAGTGAATAACGTAATGTGGATACAAGAGTAAGTGGGTAAAGTAGTGACTTATGGGGTTAAAGAAATAAATTAAGGGCAATTTGTAATCGATTTGATATGCTGCCAAAGAGTCTGTTCTTTATCATGATGTCAATCATATAAAGAAAGAGATGAAAATCAGCTCATTAATTGAAAATGTGGACCAAAACAAAATAAATGAAGAAAAAACAGTATATGTGACAGAGCGTACTGGCAATTCACTAAAAATACATTTCCCTTTCTTCCTAGATTGAATTTTCCAGTCTCCTTTGCAGTTAGTTTAGCAATGTGCCTCACTTTAACCAAAGATGTGGGAATGGAAATGATTTGAGCCATTTCCAACCAGGCATACCCCCTTCAAACACTACTGCCCCTTCTGCTGGCTAGATGTAGATGTCTAAGATTATGGGCCTCAAGGTGTGATAAAGCTACAACAAAATAAAAGGAGCCTGGGTCTTTGAGATATCTGGGGAAGGAAAGCTACTCACTGACTTCTGACTGTTACATGTTTAAGAATTAATTTTCAGTTGTATTTGAGCCACTATACTTGAGCCCTATACTGGAGTAGTTAGAGATTATCCTAACCAATATGGTGTCAGAAATATAAATGTAAAAGGAGCCCCAAGATGGATCCAAGATTATAACATTTAAAGTTTTTGTACTTTTTAAAAAAGTTTTCCTGGTCAACATCACTTTTGCTTTAGACACTGAAACTTGCAAGGTCCTCTTTCTAAGACTCATGGCCATCTCGACCTTTACACCAATGACCCCTTCCTTTGAGTTATAATTAAACCCATGTACCTTATTCCCCTTTTCTCCATTATCTATGCATCCAATCATCTATGTCTGTATGGAGCAAAACTTAACAGAACATCTAAGATACTATTTGATAGCTTTTACTTTTTATAAGCCTCCTTTATTAAAGATATTATAATTATAATCTTCACAACCCTTAATTAAAATACTTCTGAAAAATTCTTCAGAATCATTTTGCTATTTTTTTAATAGCTTTTTTGTTATACAGATTTAACTCCTCCCAATTAGTAAGAAAATTAGTAGGGCTTACGTCCCAGGTTTTCTTTCACCATGCCCCCTGTCGACCAACACATACATGCACACACACACAGACAGTAGAAAACAGTAGTAGTGGAGAGATTCTAGTTGACTGATTGGTTTTATAGTACACATTATGTTGCTAAGTCAACATTACTAATTATACGACTACAATCTTTCATGAAAAAATTTCTCTGACAAATTTAAAAGGAGGTTATTAGATGAAAATATGTTAATTTTTTAAAAATTCTGAATTAAGTCTTCTGAGAAACTGATATGCTATAGTTTCTTTAAGAAGCATGGGAAGGCTAAAACCTGGGAATACTCAACAGTTTCTAATATATCATAAAGTAATGGTACACAACACTGATCAGAGCATATTACAGAAGAATTACTCCTAGCTGAGTGAGTCAGGGGAGATATACCAAAGGAAGTAGAGTCGATATCTATGATGTCTCAACTTAATTCTGAGAAATGAATGGGACTTATCTCAGCAGAAGACAGGAACTGGGAAATAAAAGACCCATGTTCCAGCAGAGATAACACTATATGAAAGAGCTGATGGCAAGAGAATGTATTCAAGTTCACCTTGAGAAGGTCAGTGTAGTTGTACTGATAAAATTGAGGGGCTTTGGTGTGAGTTGAGTCCGATGAGGGAGGCTGAAGGAAAATCATGAAAGGACTTATAGATCTTGTTAAGATTTTTGGCCTTAATTCATGAGTTTAAGCTAGAGTAGGATATACCAATTAGATCACTGATCTACAAAGTAAAAAACAAATGAAAGGATTATAATAGTAGGATCAAGTCCAATTCGAAGGTTACTGCAGATAGTGGTCTCTCAGACTTCATAAAGAAGTGAGCTGATTTAAAACATATACTATTATATATTCTACACAATTATGAATATGTAATATTCATAACATGAATATTATAATATGTAATATATATTATATGTTAAAGATATAATTCTGATCTTATTCACAAATCTCAATTAAAAGTTTCCTAGAAAATTCATCATGCAAACAAAATCAACAGGACATGGTGATGGATTAGAGATGGTGAGTTGAGAGAGAGATACTGCGTGGACTAGAATTGCCCAGCGCACTATCCCACAGAAAGGGATCAGAGAAAGGAAAGTAGAGCTAAATACGGTGGAGAACATCAGTAGGAGAGCATGAAAGGGCAGGGAGAGCCTGGTAAGGACCCTGTGGAGCACAAAAAAACAAGCAGGGTGGTATAGAGAAGAAAGAGGCACATGGCTTCAGCCTCAGCTGCTGCCAATCTGCCAAACCAGGATTAGCCATGAGGAATTCTCCCTTGCAGTAGAATCTGCTCAGCCATGAGCACTTCCCAGCAGTAACCCTCCTCCTGCTCCTGCCCCACCCTGCCTCCACCACCACTGTGGTTGCCTGTGCCATTATCTAGTCCCAGAGCTGTGGCCCTTCTCCCTCCACAGGAGCTCACCCTATGCAGTGTACCTCACTGCGTGGCCCGCATTGCTCATGTGGCACGGGGCCTCTTCTCGGCTCCAGCCTTCCAGCCACCTGAATGCCCCAGCTGCCCACATGACTCCAACCATCTGCCCACCAATACAGCCCCACCCGCCCACCTGGGCCCAGCCGTCTAGCTGCCCTTGCAATCCCAACCACCTGGCCTCCAGTGGGGCTCCACCTGCCCACGTTACCCCAACTGCCCAACCACCTGTGCAACCCCACCCATCCACACAGTGCCAACCACCCCATCTTCCCATGTAGCCCCAGACATCCAGTTGCTCACATGGTTCCAGCTGCCACAGCCACCTGCATGGGCCCACTCTCACACATGGGCCCAGCCATCCAGCCACTGTGTGGCCCCAGTTGCCCCAGCTGCCCATATGGACCCCACACACCTGTGTGGGCCCAGCTTCATATACAGGCCCAGTCACAGACGTAGCTGCCAGCATCCCCTGGAAATACTGAGTCTACCCAGAACTATTGGCTCTACCTAAAACAACTGAGTCTACCCAGAACAACTGAAACTACTAAGTCTACTCGAAGCCAAAACTAAAATACCCCACCCAAAGGGCGATATATAATGGTGGGTGTTTTAGTTTTGGTTCTGGGTAGACTCAGTAGTTTCAGTTGTTCTGGTACACTCAGTAGTTTCTCTATAGGAGGAAGTCTTTCTCCTCAAAGGCCACCCCA